CCCGAACCCTCTTCCCTGTGTGTTTCTCCATTGACGGAGTCATAGCACACGGTTGGGGTAGTGGTGGCTGCACCCCCTAGGATGGCATGCAGCTCCGCGTAGAAGCGGCAAGTTTGCGGCTCTGCCCCGGACCTTCCATTTGCTTCTCTGGCTTTGTGGTAGGCTTGCCGTAGCTCCTTAATTTTCACGCGGCACTGCTGTGTATCCCTGTTATGGCCTCGGTCCTTCATGGCCTTGGAGACCTTTTCTAATACTTTGCCATTTCTTTTACTGCTACGGAGTTCAGCTAGCACTGATTCATCTCCCCATATGGCGAGCAGATCCCGTATCTCTCGTTCGGTCCATGATGGAGCTCTTTTGCGATCCTGGGACTCCATCACGGTTACCGGTACTGATGAGCTCTGCGTGGTTACCTGTGCTCTCCACGCTGGGCAAACAGGAAATGAAATTCAAACGTTCGCGGGTCTTTTCCTGTCTACCTGGTCAGTGCATCTGAGTTGAGAATGCTGTCCAGAGCGGTCACAATGAAGCACTGTGGGATAGCTCCCGGAGGCCAATAACGTCGAATTCCGTCCACACTACCCCAATTCCGACCCGCAAAGGCCGATTTTATCGCTAATCCCCTCGTTGAAGGTGGTGTAAAGAAACCGGTTTAAAGGGCTCTTTAAGTCGAAAGAAAGGGCTTCGTCGTGTGAATGTGTCCAGGCTTAATTCGATTTAACGCTGCTAAAGTTGACCTAAACCCGTAGTGTAGACCAGGCCTTAGGTTCTAGGTGTCACAAATTGGGTTCCCAACATTAGTGGCTGCTTTTGAATTTCATGTCTGTGCCTCCATTCCCCAGCTATAAAATGGAGCTTATACAACATCCCTCTGAAATGAGTTGGTGAAAATAATTTTTTTTTAATTAATGGAGATATCCCATCTCCTAGAACTGGAAGGGACCTTGAAAGGTCATCAAGTCCAGCCCCCTGCCCTCACCAGCAGGACCAAGCACTGACTTTGCCCCAGATCCCTAAGTGGCCCCCTCAAGGATTGAACTCACAACCCTGGGCTTAGCAGGCCAATGCTCAAACCACTGAGCTATCCCTCCTCCCAAATATATTGTTTCACAAACACTAGATACTATAGTAATGAACAGCATAGAAAAGCCCATGAGGTAATTAATAATTCTGTCTCCAGGGCAGCGTTAGAGTAATGTGGAGCACATACTTAGTGTGAGTACATAACACAAAATATTGAATAACTACTTGTTACATTAGCACCATCCATCCAGTGCCCTGAATGAGGTGGGGGTTCTGTGGGGAAAAATAGTATGTGATCATGTATTTAAAGGCTGCATCATAATACATATGCGCAAAGGGACTGAATTAGTGTTTCACAGGAAGTGGCAGAAATAAGGTTCCCTAACTTTTGAGTGCTCTACTGTGCAACCTTAATGTTCTTTTAACTTAGTGATTTTGTGTTTTATATATTAAGTGGAAATGCCCCAGAGGTAACTTTGGAATTTATCTGCTATGTAATGTTCTGAAATAAAAGGGCAACAAGCCAAACTGTCTCCAAGTACCCTCCTTGGGAATCCAATGAAAACTAAACTAGAAATCAAACTTACTTGATTCCACATCTAAATGTGGCAGTTAGCATTATCATAGGCAAATAGTAAAGCCCTAAGATACCACCTCTAGAAAGAAGGATTGCTAAACCCAAGGAGGTCCACACTTTGAAAAAGAAGTTGTATCTCTAGAAGAAACTTGTATTAGACAGATGAATACCATAGATTATTAAAAAGAAATGACTTATGGAAGTCTAGTTTACTTTGCACCATTTAAGCTGTTTGTTTTTATGCACTATAGAGAGGCTGTCGTGATTATAATTTGTTTTCCTTTTTATTTAAAGATTCAAAAGAATCCTTGATATGTTTGTAAAAAAGTGACTTTAATTTTTACATGAAATCTTAATTTAGGGCCTAAACTATTTGATGCATTCCCTTTAAAACCAGTTGAAGTTTACATTGATACTTCTACTGATTTTTCTCTCCCCAAAACATTTTAATCCATAGTTGACTAACCATCAGTAGCACTTGTGTCAGCAGAGAATCAGAGCTTACAGGGATCAGTTCAGCAATCTCTTTTATCATTGCATGCTATGTATTCCTCCAACAAACCAGATGATTTCTACTTCACTTGCTTGTCTTCCAGCTTAGAGGGAAGAAATTCACGCAGCAAGCAACTACTCAGCCTGTATCTCAGAATCAACTTTCAGAAGCCTGACATGGATTTAGGGTCAGATCTAGTGCCTGTTAAAGCACTGGATCTGAGTCTGTCTACAGCAGGTGAAGAGACATCCAGGCACCATCAATTTTTGCCCACCTGGTAGCACATATATTAAGGGCTCAGTGCTACTCTTGAATGCCCATAGAACCATCTTATCCTTCCCATCCTTCCTTTACAGCTTAACTTCATTTATTAGTCAATACACTATAAAGACACACAGAAACTTGGGCTTGGAAGGAAGCTTCAGCTCATTTTCTACCCTGGATGTTTTTTCCCCCTCCTTATAAACAAGGAGCACATGGCTATTATATAAAAAGATTCTATTTTCAGACACAATTTAGAAAGAAGCTATTCCCTAAGCATGGGGTTTCTCTGTGTGTGATGCCATTAATCTATCCGTATGTCCATGGAAGAAAGAATTTGTTGACTCTTCACAGAACACACTGTTAACAGAACATTTACTTTAGGAGGTAAATATCTATATAACAGACAACTCTCTGGATCATAGTATTTCTTTAAAGAAAACAAACCTTTTGTAGATCAATGAGTAGAGAGGCAGGGTAAGGGTTGAATCCTCTGGCACATAAGGGGAGAAATGAGAAAGCGGGGAGCCTCTTCCTTTCCTCACTCCCAACCAAGCAGCAGAACAGCAAACATTAAGGACAGCATTAGGAAAGACTCAAACTGCAAACTAAATTCCGATCAGTATATTACCTATGGACAAGGAGGTGTGTCCAGTGAGCCAGCTAACTATAATCATTAAGTAGGGCGTCCCTCTGCTCCTGCCTACAGGCTAAATGTGCAGCACAACACATACCTCAGCCCACCAAATGGAGTCTTGCCCTAGCTACTGCCTTCACACTCCTTCACAGGGCAGAGCAGGATGTAGCCCTAAGTCTTTAGAACATGAGCAGAAATAGAGTGTGAATAAACAGAGCCACTTGTCATTTCCCAGAGATACTTCATTAAATATTTGGAAGCTGAAAATAAAATCAATTGGCAGGAAAGAGGTTGAAAAGAACTCAAACTCCATAAGCAATATTCTCTAACTCCTCCCTTATAAGTAAAAATAAACAGTGTTACAAACCACTGCTACAATTACCGCATGTGAAAGTAGAGGGACAGAACGATTACTGTAACTGAAGAGGATTAGAGGAAAAAAAGTCTGCTTATCTATTTTATTACATTGACATTACTGGCCTGGTCAGATTTCCCTGTTTGTGGGTCTGCCTCACAGCAAGAAAGAAATTGAACTATGCAACCACAAAAAATTGGCTGAATGACTCAGGGGAGATGTAGTAGATGATACTAACTTCAATTCATATTTAAATGAACAAGATTTTAAACTCTCAGTAATCTCGTATTAGAAAAAAGTCCCATTTAATTTTCATATTCCAAGATTTTTTAAAATTTCTGATTGTTCCTACCTTATCAGGGCAAGAGCTGAAACATGAGCTGAATAAGTCTTCAAGAGTAAATAGCATCTGAGAAACCTTGCCTTTTATAATTCCAATCACATGGGTGTTACTAATAAAATATGAAGCCAGGGGTGGGTATATCCCAATAGGTTCTCTTCACTGTCCGGCTTTCAGAAGTCTTTTTGAATATTTTTTTTCTCCTGTGTAGGAACTTTATTAGAACTCAATCCTAGACTTCCAAGTTTCCTGCCACCTCCCACTGAGGCAGCACTATCCAGCCAGAAGGACTGTCTACACTTTTTGAAGTAGGCTCTGGGATATAAAACACACTATAGTAGATCCATCAATGCCTTTCTCAATAGCCTGAATAAATTGCCTCCAACATCCACCAGCTCTGCTGGCTTCGATCCCAGAGACTTTAATAGCAATGCCAGTAAGACTAATATAGGTGACACACCTAATTTCCCTGTTCCTCATTATTATTAGTAGTATTTATTATTGTATTGCAATAGTGCCTAGAGGCTCCAGTCAGGACTGAATCCCATTGTGCTACGTGCTGTCTAGACACAGATGAACAGACAGTGTCCCCCCCAAAGGAGTTCATATTCCCTTTTGATAACAAGACACAGCAATAAGTGTGATAAACAAAAGCAGGAAAAGAGGACAAGGTTAATGAAAGTCAGATCATGTGGTGCACCTATGCAACAGCATGGTAGTTCCTAATTTGCCACAGTGGAGATTTTTTCCGCTCACTCCCAAATGTGTCTGAGATACCTAGAAAGTGGGTTTAATCCATCTTTCAGAAAGTGCTATGCAACTATATTGGTCTTCAAGATCATTGATCAGCCAATGAGAGTTTGTGGTGATGATTTAATGCCTATCACTTAGTATCCTGCTGAAGCTTTTGAGGAAAACTTGTCTTGCATAGAATACTCCAGGCTGATTGTGCTATTGAATTAGTTTCTTTATGAGTAATTCAGTCTTTGCTTCATTGCCTCCGTACTCTTGACTAATGTTCTCAACACAGCAGTGGTGCACACCCAGAAGTTAGGTGCATAGATCTCACTCACAGATGTATGCAAGCTAGGTTAATACATAGTATGTGCATGTGCAAGCTCATCCTGGGAATATATGAGAGAGGGAGGGAAAGGATTGTGCACATCAACTAGGCTTCCAAAACCATTTGAAAATTTGTCCTGCTTTTTCAGAAATCTGTCTTTGAAGCCATGGAAGGCTGTGTAAGTCCCTTCCATAGCTCACATGTTTTTGTGGGGATGAGGGAGTGAGAGACATGATTATCCTGGTGTGGTAGCCAGACAGAGGCACACATTTTGGTTGCTTTATGCACAAGAGAATAAGAGTTCCATTGACATTACTGGGACTACTAGCATGCGTTAGGCAAGCAAGATATGGCCCTGAACTTAATATTAGTGATTCTGTGTTCTGCTCTGTACAAAAAAGCCAAAGCCAAATGGGCTGATGTCATGGGGTGTATATACACCATACCGGCCTGGCAACCAAGGGGTTAATACAGCAACCACCAGCCAGCACTCATTGACAGCCTCACAGCATCTGGGAGAACAAAAGAGCTGAGAAGCAGAAGGTAGCTGCCAGAGGAGGAAGCAGGCTGGAGAAGGAAAGTCCTGCCAACAATTTGGTGAGAAGCTACCCAAGGACAGCACCCAGAAAAGGGACGACTGGATATACAGGCTGGAGAAACCTACAGAACCTAGGGAGGAAGGAAGGAGCTCAGGGCACAGCAGAGGAGTTGCTGAGGCTTGATTCTACCTGCCTGGTTTTAGGGTCCTGAGCTGGAACCCAGTAGAATGGGTGGGCCTAGGTTCCACTTACTGAACCCTCAGAGACTTAAGAAACAAACAGGTTTTCAGACCTCATGAGTACCAAGACTAGCTGACCCTGCCAAATGCAAGGGGAAAACCCGTACACCCCAAAGGACTGAAACTAACACCCTTCATAGCCCAGAGTGGAACTACCAGAGAGACCCAGACAAGAGGAGCTGGCTAGATCGAGTGGACTCTGAGCAATGCTCTATCTGACCAAAGGGTGTGCTGTTGAATTAACACACCAGTTCACAGTTCACAAACAGCCACTACCTGCTCTCTGCTGACCACGCCACAGCATCACAAGATGGGTCTTTTCACACTCATACCAAAATGCATTTGGAAGAGGTGATGGTGCTCAGGAGCCAACCAACCTATAATGCAAAAGGGACATTACAAAGGTGAGAATTTCTTAATCCTTCCTCCGAACTGTCTCCAAATATAGGAGAGGGAAGAAACAAACAAAACAACAACAACAACAATCCACTGTTTGAGCATTGCACTTCCTGATGCCCTGAGGTGCACAAACACTGTTGTAATCTTGCACATTGTCATGATAGTTTTTTGCTAAGACGCACCTTTATGTGCTCCAGGAGTGAAAGCTTCTCCACTTTACCCCAGCATTCTCTCACTGGGATCCTTGTGTGTTCCAGTTCATGTGCCCCACCTGTCACCCTTTTGCTTTCTCTCACCTCATAAGGAAAATGACCACTTAGCACCTGAATGAGATTCCACCTCATTCCTCAGAATAACTAATTTGGAAACATCAGCCAACGTGTTTTACTGACTCTCCTTTTTAAATATTCATTTTCATTCTTCCTATTGGAGGTAAATGAAGTTCCTAAATGCACAAGAGCATTTCACTCCTCTAAGTGAAAAGGCCCATTATGCAAAGTAAATCCATTTCATTCAGTTCATCTCCCACCACAGTTTCACATTCATTCTATCCTACATGGCAAGCAGATCTATGAAGACCAAATGTGCACCAGAAGAATCTCTCAAAGAGAAGAAGAGGTAAAACAAAAAACCAACCAGATATGCTAAGTGCAGGCTGCTACACAATAAATCTCACAAGAGATTTTTACCTTGTTTCATTCACACAAATTAACCCGGTTACTTAGCAACATACCAAGATAACAATAATCAGAAAGAACCCACAAGTCTTGGGCTGGGTCTAGGTACAGGTCTGAAAAGCCATAGCTGGAAACAGGAAAGCTGGCTGCAGCATTCATACTCTATTGTACCTCCCTGGTCAGAATCATGAAGTGGTTGTTCTGCAGAAGATCTGGTCCATGCACTAAAGCCCTGATTCTGTTTTTGTTGAAGTCAATGGAAGACGTCTTATTGACTTCAGTGGCGCAAGATCAGTCCTTTGGCACATAGGAAGCCCAGTCTAAAACCCAGTATTTTCAAAAGGAGTCTTTCCTTTGACTGCAGTGAGCATTGATAAGGCTCATGTCTGCTAACTCAGTCATCCCACAGCTCATGCAGGTTATTCCTAATATGGATAATTTGTATGTGAATATGAGCAGCCTGAATAAAGACGAATATTAATCTTGCTTTTGCAGTATTGGGTTCCTATGTCTACACTGAAAGCACTTAGATCTTGAATGTGGCCCTGGTTGTGGTCTTAGGAAAGAAGTCCTTTTTCAAATGATCTTGAAAATGATCGAAAAGGAATATGCCACTGAACCCAAAGGGACCTTGCTTAATCTAGAAATTTAAATATTAAATTATTTAGAATTATATGGGTTATTTATACAACATCATTAGTGTGCCTGGTACCTGAGAACAAAAAAAAAGAAGTTTGGTCCCTCTTCCAAAAAGCCTACAGTGTATACTTAGATATAAATACTGTGACAGATAACAAACAAAGTGGGTAAGGGCACATGTGTTATAGGCACTAATATTTAATGGAAATCTGACTGCCAATCCAAGCTTCAGGAGAGTTAACATGTTATAGACAGACAACACAGAAATTTGAAAAGAAATTTATATATTATATATAAAAATCCACTTTAGCTTTCCCACTGAGGCAAACAAAACAAAACAAAACACCAAATCCCCCAACAGTAATGGTTGGACTTAATAAGCGTTAGAGATGTGTTATTCAATATAGTACCACACCTTTGAGTCTAAACAGTGCCAAGTTCTGGTTTCTCATAATCATTACAATTTTTTTTTACATGAACTGGGACTGAGACTGAAGAGTATGAGGATGTGTTTTAATGAACCAGTGAGTCACGTTTAAGATTTCACAATACAAGCTTAACTTAGCAAAGGTATTTCTGCTCTTCTGTCTTTCGAGGTGCTTGAGTTTGATGTGGTAAAAACTGGAAGAAAACAATGAGAGTAGATAAGTGGGGTTAGCAGGGTCAGAGGAGTAGAGGGGAGGACTCCATTAGCAATAGCATGTTGTACAGACTGGCAGAGGAAAGGAGGCCAAAGAACCAGGAGGTTATTAATCAAGGGCAGCAATGCCAGCCCCAATTACTCCTGTGAAGTTTATGTAGAGCTGCTTATTACTGAGTCCAGTGAGTGTGGTG